CAAGGCACAGTGTGGCTTGTGTGGCTTAATTAACTTTCACCCAATCAGAGCGCTGTCGAAACTACAGGCCTCTACAATACCCAAAAGGTCGGGATGATAAACACTCTCACTGTTTGGAGAAAGGAGTTTTCTTTGATGAGATTTTGCACTGATGCTACATGTTTCTCTCCAGAGGACTAGACAGAAATGTGTGCTTGTAGTAGATTTTCTTCTGTTTCTCAGAGGAATGCATGAAGGTCTCAATGAAGATTGATAATTAAGAGATGGTGTGTGGAAGTGGTAGAGTGTATGTCGTCACATTGCTCATATCCTTTGCTTGGGGATTTGCACTGTACATGTATATAAAATCTTTCTATTGTGTTCTTCTGAATGTAATTGACAGTGGTGATACCATTTTCCTCATAGATGACCTGCCCGGCTCACGTCCACCACGTCCGTGTTGGGAGCAGTGGGATGGTTAAGTTTGAAGTGAATCCATCTGTGATGACTCAGAAGGTCTTGGAGCAGGTTCAGACGGAAGCTGACCGGTATGGGTTGGCTGCAGAACCATGGACGGACAGGCAAAGACAGAGGGTGATAGTTGAATTCAGGTAAAGGGGACGGTATTGGCCTTACGTTGGTCCGAATGGGTCATAAAACGACTATGGGGGTGTCATACCTAGCCTCTTGCCATCTCTCTCCCCTACTCTGATGTATTCTGCTTTGCCAGTCCTGACCCTCCCTGTCTCACCGTGCTGTTTTCCAACCCAACCTGGCCCTATCGTACCTTGTGCTGTCCCTACCTCCTCCTTTACTGAGGTGTGGCAGAATTCAGGGATTCCTGGTAAATTTTGTCACCCTGTATTCTCCTCAAAAGGGGAGCTTTCATGTTCTTATTTTCCCAGCATGCACTGTCCATGTAGAAAACGCGGGGTCTGTTATGTCAGTTTTTCAGTATCTGGAATCATCCACGCTGTACAAGTGACTCTAATATGCCAATAAATTTCAATACGTGCATGTGCACCAGAAAGTAGTGTGGTAATATTGTCTTGGCGAATGCACAAAATCCCAATATGTCAGTTTGAGTTACCTCTGTAATGCATAAAAAACACCTGGAGAAATTACTATGGATTTTTAAAATATTTAATGATTTTGTTTGTGTTTGCAGTTCGCCGAATATTGCTAAACCATTCCACGCTGGTCACCTGAGGTCCACTCTTATCGGTAACTGCATTGCTAACCTACACAATGCCATGGGCAACGATGTCATCAGGATGAACTATATGGGTGATTGGGGAGTGCAGTTTGGTAAGTCCGTACCCAGACACGCTCAGAATGGAGGCCTTGAAACTATCCAGTGACTGAGATATGGTGATGAACTGGATGGCCTTGTCTTGAGTCATATTCAGTCTCCTTAAAAACCCTTTTAGTGAAGAGATTGAAGAAGAGACCCTAGTCACTGAAAATTAACCATCTTCCCTCAGAGTTGTTCAACGGATCTGTTCCTTATCTCACAAGAGATGTTGCAGTTTCGACGTAGTTACGAAGTTGTTATCTTTACAAGTTGAACTCAAAATCACCAGAAATGAAAGCATTGATTTTGTGATCATAAGACATGAAATGTAAAGTGAATTGTAAATGTTAAATTAATTGCAGAATATGCTGTCAACAACATTAATGACTCTGGTAAGTTTGATTGATATTACAGGGTTGTTGGGTGTCGGTTTCCAACGATTTGGAAGCGAGGAGGAACTGGCCAAGAATCCCATACAGCATCTGTTTGACGTGTACGTGCGAGTCAATGAACAGGCCAAGTCTGACCCTAGCATTGACCAAGAAGCCCAGGGATTCAACCGGTCCATGGAAAAAGGTGAGAAAAAAAAAGATGTACCATTGTGCGTACGTGTCCATACTGGAGGATGTGTGAACAGAATCCGACAGCTGCATGCCTATCAGGGATGCCAAGTTCTAACCACCTTACATGTAGCATGCCATGAGTTATTGCCAGGGGATGCATATGTCTTTTACATGTGCACAAAGTACAAGTCTCCAGAGGGGGCTGTGCATTGAAGTAGGTCGCTGAAGACTTCCTCTTGTTGTTAAAAGTATTGTGCCATGGCAGCTCCCTAATATTTCAAAATATGACTCGGGGTTGGGGCACATCCAAAGGGGGAGCCACTAGGGGGCATGCACTCCCACCCCACAAAAAAATCTTGCATTTTTGGGTCTGTTTCATTTCTCTCCTTTCCAAAATGTCTTAAAAACCCCCAAATGTAGTCTTACCCTGCAAAACTATAGGCCCCCAAAACAATTGTGATCTGCTCAGCCAAAATATTGTTCTGAACCCCCTGTTTGGTTTGGGATAGTAATATTGCACAAGTTCTGTTCAAATGACTTGGCAGGCTTTAAACTCTAATCCCCTTGTATGCGTCCACCTCTTGTGCTTCGAAAATTGTCCCACATCAACATGTGATGACTGCATAGGCCTTTGAAAGGTTTGTACAAGCTGACTGAAATTGAGTCAGTAATTCAATACAAGCAGGAGCTCTTGAGAAATTAAATGTGCTGTGAGAATGATGTAACTCTGTAGGTAGTGCTGCATACAATATGGTGTGATTCGACAATGGAATCAGAGCCATTGCTACGGTGGCACAACACTCATGGAGAGGTGGTATGCAATCCTTGCCTGCCTCTTTGACAACAAGGTTGCCAAGATTTGGCCAAGGTATGAGCGCTTATGTGAGTGCGGTGTCGCTACAGTAATGACGTCCTTGGATTAGGCTAGCTGGTTCATATTTTGGCCGTCACTTCAGTTCAAGACGCCCACTGCACATAGAGTTAGTAATACATTGAATAAAGAGTTAAAACTCAACTTGAGTAATCATGAAATGGGAGCTTGTAATCAGTGGCACGCGTGTGTGTATGTATGACAAAGTCACTTAGGAAATGGCTAGGGATGATTCATTTGATGCTGTAGTGGCGTTGACCCATTGACCATCAGGAGATTCTGGCCTGCTGGACCTGTGGAAGCGATTCAGAGATTTAAGCACAGTGGAATATTCAGCAATGTATCGGGTAAGTCCAAAAGCATGTACATGTAGAAATCAAAAGTCCTTGTTTCTGTCAATGAAATCAACAGTAACTGAACATGAAATTAACTCATGAGTCTTTTTACCCTTCTTCTACTGTTCCTTCACCGATGATTTCAGATCTTTTTCTTTTTTTCCCAGAGGTTAGGTGTAACCTTTGATGAGTATGCTTGGGAGTCTCAGTATGGAGAAAAGGCACATAGCCTCCTAGGGGTCCTCAAAGACAAAGGCCTTCTGCAGCAATCCGAGTATGTCTGCTACTGATTCCGTTTGAAGAGTCATTAGATTTATTAAAACATACACCTTTAAATTGTCAAGTTTAGAGACCTAGGTCTTGGCCAAAGCAAAGGTTTGACCAAAATGTATGATGCAGTTGTGTAAATCATTAGTCTAAGCTACATGTAGTTTGGCATTCCTATCTTAATCCCATTATTGCCAAATTGACAATATTTGGCAAAGTCATCCATACATTGTCAAATGTTTTGACCAATTTTGTGCTGCGGTATTAAGGTCAGGGTAGAAGCCATTGGCCAGTCAGGAGTATTACCTTATTTGGACTGGTCATTACATCACACACCTATTGCGTTCCGGCCAATCGTAAGGCTTGTTGAATCAGGCTGCAAACAATTACGGGTGTTTCTATGGCACTGCATACACACCATACTTTTCCCAAGTGTTGATTTTGATTGGCTGTGCAAAAACCTACAGCACAGACATCTGTACTTTCAGAAATCCACTTCAATATGTACGCTAAAAAATTTGTTGTTGCCAACTTGAGATATGCTGCGTTAAATTTGACGACAAGTGTGGCATTTTGCCCTGGCTTGTGCTTGGCAAACTAAATGAGTGAGTGACCATGCCTGTTTCAAGGTATTTGGGGATGAAAAAAGCCGACACAAACATGGGTATGGGATAAAGATACGGCTTCATTATGCAGTCAGACCGAAACACACAGCCAAAACTATGCATGTATGAGAAAGTGCAAGGTGTGTGATGTGTGACTATTTACCATCTGCCATGTTTCACTTTCCTGGTACATAAATTCAGGACACTTCAGTGACATCTGCATTGCACAGCAGCAAGTAATTCAAATCTTCGTCTGTGTGCTGTTCAATTTTCTGACTTCAGGGAGGGAACTAGCATCGTTGACCTCAGTGACCTGAACATACCCCAGTTTAAGTATGCCACAGTGAAGAAGAGTGACGGGACCACCCTCTATTTGACCAGAGACATTGCAGCTGCCATTGACCGATACGAGGCATATAGCTTTGATGGGATATACTATGTCGTGGACAAGAGCCAGGAGGGACATTTCAGTCAGATGAAAGGGATACTGGAGAAGATGAACCTTGGAGTAGCCAAACGGTGAGAGAAACCGTTTATGTTAAACCAGTTATGTCGAAGCACAGACATGGACACTTGTACACAGTCTCCCAATTTGTTTGAATTGTCCACGTACAACACAATTCCCCATTAGCAATGTGTGTACACAGCCCAAACTGGTTTTGGTGATCTCCGGCTGCATCGCATAATACGGCGCAGGGTAAATGGTTGGAGAGTGAAAAAAATTCCCTTTTCAAAGCGTTGAAACACAGTTGCCTGACTGCACAAGACAGCTCTGCACTCATGCACATGTGCTGCTGAGTAACAGTTGACTAGAGCAGTGCTGTCTGCAGGGGAGGATCCAGCAGTTTTCAACTTGGGAAGGTGGCAGTCCAATCCAGGCAACATAATCAACAACGGAACAAGGGAAGGCACAATCTTAAAAAAGCAAGATGGTGGCATGCCTCCACCAGGCCTAGTACTGGTCTACATTTGAGGGTTAATGGGTCTGAAATTCTAGTCCACTGATTTCCAATTTCGTGCCTTCTCAATTCGGCTGGTTTTTGAGTTTCTGGATAGATTAGTAGATTTAGCAGCACATTTGAACAGTAAAGTAAATTTGCAAAGTAATTTGCAAAATATAGCGGATTTCTTTGATACAGTTGCATAGCTCGACTTCATATGAGACAGGTTGACCTATGGTTGTTTCCTTGCATAACTCCTGACAATTCTTGAGAAGTTTATTAAAAAAAACCTGGCAGGTTGGCTGTCCACCGCAAGTCTGTGATGATTGATGGTTCCTTTAATATTCATGTGGATGACCCAGATGCCATCACATCATGTTTGGGCGTGTGCTTGGAATGCAGACGAGGACAGGCAACGTTGTTCTGCTGAGAGATATCTTAGATGAAGCCAAGAATCGAATGCTGCACAACATGCAGGAGACATCATGTACGTAATTCAGTGCAAATCGATCCAAGAAATCACCAGGGGCATTTGATTATTGCCGAATCTCCTTTGCAATTTTGTTGGCAGTTTTCTTTTGAATGTACAGTTCTTTGCAGCATCTTACTTGTGATCTTCGTAGTTATAAGAGGTTGGTTGTTATACACCCAATGGCTTTTTACCTTGTGTGACTGAAATTAAGGCGTCAGAGATAATTATGCCTGTTTCTAGTTCAATTTACTCTTTTCAGAATGTTTCGGTTAATGAAAAGAATATGAATTACTCATTTGTAGACATGTGGTCATTTAGTGCTCAAATATTATTATTATGTATCTACCCTCAACAAAAATGCAAAGACAAAAATAAACCAAAGTAACACATAAATGAATGTAAAACATAACATTTTATTTGTTTATTGCTGAAAGTCTTTGGACTCTGCATGGTACTGTGTATATGCTGATTTCAATATTTTAGCCACACTTAACCCCTTCATAGCAAAATGACCACGTTCAATGTCATATCCATGTACCACTGAAATAGCCATATGACAAAAAACCGATTAAAATTTCGTTGTAGGCATTTGGGCATTTCTCCTCTAGAATGAGAACAAAGTTGTTTTGAGACTTTACATTCGCAAAGCACACCTGATTATTTCCTCAATCTACAGCGAGCAAGCAGTTGGATAATCCCGAGGGGGTGGCGGAGCAGCTCGGAGTGTCCGCAATGATTGTCCAGGACCTCAAGGGCAAACTGATAAACCACTACCACTTTGACTGGAATCGCATCCTGACCAGCCAAGGAGATACGGGGGTCTTCTTGCAGTACACACACGCAAGACTTCATAGGTACAGTAGTCAGGGGTCACAACCACTGAACGCAGTTCTGGTGGATACTGCCATAATTTACGCTACTAGCAAGCACCTTGTCAAAGAGAGGTTGGCTGAGATGACCAGGTCAACAAGGTGAAAGGGGCCAACATGAAGACCATGTTCCCTAAATGAGAACTGGTATAGGACTTGAGAAGGAGGGGTTGTAACAGTAGTTTTATCTGAAGAAGTGGAGTCAAATACCAGTTATTATAGTCTTCAGAACCTTATCAGAGTAAAACTTGTGGGAAGTGGGTGACCTTATCAACTTTGTGAAAGGTTTCAGCATAAAGACTTTGTGCATCAGTGGAAACTGGTATTGGCTTGATAAGCAGGGGTAGTAGCAACATTGTTTACTTTTGTTGACACGCTTTATAAATAATTGTATTACATGTATTGCCTTCATTATTAAGGATTTGGTTTGATTTTGATGCCTCTCTCTCAGTGGCAAGCAGGAAACGTTTGCTGTTCTTTTCAAGTTCCCTCTAGTTATCATATTGTTTACCACTCCATTGTAGTCTTGAGCAGCTCTCTGGTGTACCCTTGGATCCAGCCTGTGATAGCTCAATTCTGACCGAGCCTGAGGCCACTCTTCTTGCGCATCATTTAAGCCTCTTCAGAACTGCCATCAGCAGAGCGCACTCTGCAATGGAGCCCAGCCATCTCACTGTCTACCTACTCCAACTGTGGTAAGCATTGCTATTGGTTTTATCCTGATTTCATAATAGTATACCTGCACCATCTTACTTGATAACTGTTTGAAATATAGATTTGAAAGTTTTAGAGACTAATAGTTTAAATATCAAGGGGCTTCAGCCTCAGTTTGTTGGTGGAAGTTTATATTGAATGTGCCGTTGACATGCTTCTTTTTCTGCTCTTGTTCTCTTAGCCATTTTGCATCCTCTGCCATAAAAGTTCTGAGAGTTAAAGACACCGCAAAAAACCAAGCTGAGGTTGGTTGTATTTGCTAACTATAATAAATAAAGCAATTAATTAACCAGTGTACTTGTTTTCTCTGAAGCACCACAGCTTTCATGTCATAAAGCATACTTTTAACAGTGTTTGTAGAAAAAGTGATCAAAACTTTGGACGTTTGGTTGCTTTTTTTATTTTCAGGCACGGTTGCTACTGTTTAATTGTGCCAGGCAGGCCCTGGCGAATGGAATGAAGATTCTCGGAATAGCACCTGTCAACAAAATGTGATTTGCTTGCCACATCAAGATGTACCATGTAGCAGGTGAAGGTGTTATCTTAGGAATTCACCCGACTCTTTCGATGAAAAGATGCCTCATATTCCCATGCCAGAATTTCTTAAGTGGGAAGATTGCCAAAATAGGTTGCAATGTGCAGTGCTTTTAACCTGTCAATGTTGCAATCAAGGTTAAACTTCGATTTGCACATTTTTTGTATGCAACTTGCCCGATACAAGACCATCCGGGACCACTCTGTGTCAAGGTTACAGAAGAAAGAAATAGAAAAGAGAGGTAGATGAGGAAAAAAGAACGCATATCGTGTTCAGTGTGAAAGCTGCTTATTCACACTGATATTTTGTAGGCATCGAGAAAACAGGACGAAGAGGAAGAAACATTTAGCAATAGTTTCAAGGTGCAATTTTCTACTGTAGTCTAGAGATGGGAGTGTACAACATTTGGAGGAATGCCAGTAACCTCAGATTGCATTGAGTTGTATGTTTGAAAACCTTTTGCCTTTTATAACTACTAGTATAAGCATTTACCCATGATGCAATGGCTTAGACTGAAAAGCATTTGTTATAAACGAAAAGTATTTGCTTTTTACTTTTTCAGTTTTTGGTCTACACCATTATTAGTATTTACTTTGTAGGAATAAAATGACAAAGGACAAGGTGTTTAAATTGTCAAGTGTTTGTATGCTATTTGTTGAGATTGGGTCGTGGCAACCTTTGAAAGGGATCGCTAAGCAAATATTGAAATGTTGAAAATGCCAGCATTTATGAGTGGAGTTTAGAATTATCACAGGGTATATGCCCTCCGGAAGGAGGTTTCCAAGCAGAATCCAAATACATGAAAACTTCCATTTCGTCTCTAACACGTCATGATATTTTACAGATTTTGCAAAAATACTTTGCTTGTTTGCTGCAGCGGCAGGCTAACTTCTGTCATCAAAGAGGTTTCAGCATCAGAATTACTCTTAAAGCCTGCCGAACACGAGAGCTGTCTACTGAGCCGAAAACACCATGCTTGCTTACGTTACCGCGTTACTGAGTTCATCGTTGAAACAGAGAAACATACACTGTGGGTAACACTGATTTCAAAGATACATCATTTACGAAACACGGAATTCAACGGTGACGTTTTGTGGAAACACTGATTTCAATGATAATATATCTCTGAAATGCAAACTTTAAAGAAAGCATATCTTGGATACATGTAATTCAACGATAATGTATTTCGGAAATCCGGAATTAGTGGTGATGAAACTCGGAATTCAAAGATAATGCATCTCCGAAACTCGGAATTGAATGATGGTTTTCCAAACTTCGGAATACAGTGATAAACATTTGGACGGTACACAGATATAGGCCTAAATGTTTGGCGCAAAGCCCTTGTAGGGTGGGTCCTAAATAAAAGGTGTCATACCAGCAAGTTTCAGACCAAAGCGCGGAACGGGGGGGGGACAACCGGGGTATGACCACCGCCCCCCCCCCAAAAAAAAAATTAGGGTTTTGTAATCAGAAGTAGAAATATTAAGTGTCTTAAACTGAGGACAACTGTTTAGTATGGGTAGGGTCAATTGTCTGGGTCTTTCCGAGTTTCGGAAAATCATTATAATTCAATTCGGAGATGCATTTTTAAATTCTGAGTGTCAACATCATTGATTTCCGGATTTCAGAAATACATTATCGTTGAATTCCGTTTCCAAGATATTTAAAGTTTGCATTTCAGAGACACATTATCAAGTTGAAATCAGTGTTTCCGCAAAGCGTTATCATTGAATTCCGTGTGTCGGGGATAATTTAGATTTGAAATCGGTATTATCCACTGTATGTTTCTCTGTTTCAACGATAAATCAACTCAGCAACGCAGTAACATGGAAGGTCGTTTAAACTTCCGTAGTTTCGCGAAAAACGAGCAGATACTTGACAGAAAACGCAGCAAAAAATTACCACACAGCGAACAGCGACCCATGACTGTTCATCAGCAGAGGCTCTCTCAGGGGCGGTGCGCTTGCGCGGTTTATCAGACCCAGGCTGCTGTGTGTTTACGTGTGAGTGCCTGTACATACGTACGGTGGAAGCCCTATTGTTAAAAACCATTCGGCTGTGGGGTTAACCTTAAGCATTGTGCATTGGCTACCATTGTACCAGCAGATGTTGAACAGCGACACAAACGTTTAATTTGTACAATTTCAAGCATTTGCTATATTGTAAATGCTTTTAATTCTTAATAAAAGCTTTTTGCGTAAAATTTCTAGCATGCGCTAGTTTTATACTTACAATACCCGTTATTGCGGAATTAAGATTTTAAAGGATTAATTCAATTACCTTGTGAAGACATAGGTCAACTGAATACATATATTAATGGCTCTACTGCTAAAGTGGAACAATAGAACAAAGGAAATTCGACCCGCTAGTGTTTTGTTGGCTTCTGAAGAGCTGTGAGGCCTCTGTGCCAATGTGTGTGTAGTGACCTATGTAACAAAGCTTTCCTGTTGAAGAGGAAATAAAAACACAACAGATGTTAATCATGCATTCATGACGTGTGAAAGGCTCAGAAACAACGATTGCCCTTGAAAGTGGAATGCATAATGGACTAGAAGGCTACGTACGGTACGTGTCCACTGCTGTAGATAAATCTTTGTAACTCGCCGTCGAGTACACAAGTAAAAATATTGATCACCGTGATCGCTGAACTCGTGATCGCTGGATGTGCGTAGTGTTTGCTGAGCGTATGGACAGACCCCTCCCCCCCGCAGCTGTGGGCGGAAGCACGGATGGGTGCATTGGTGGGGGGTGAGTCTGTGGACGGCTGTTGCGACTGCACTTATGCATATTAAGTCAAAATATTTTCCATGTTCGAAAAACTCGTGTTCATTCGCTCCATATTCCTCCTGACACTAACAATTAAGGAAAGGGAGAAAGTCACTGTGCACATAAGTAATTTGCCGATTCTCGTCACTACTGTGCATTTTTTTTTCTGCGCTCAGATTTCTGTGTCCGCAGGAGTTGGTAATTTTACACGCGTTAGATCAAGTTCCGACACTTTCATAAAAAAAGATGGAGGAAAAAGTGACTACACTGTACAAACTCTGTTCCATTCTTCTTAGGAATAAGAAAGGACTAACACAAGTGGCTGAGTTTTGAAGGTCTGCCGCCTGTATTCTGGAGAAAAAATTAATAGTGCGAAAAAAGCTCTATTTGAAATTGAGGCTTTTTGTCTGGGGACAATCAGCTGTGGTAAAAGTATTTAAAAAATCACAACACACGCTTTGTTATCATTAAATTTGTTATCTCTGTATTCTGGAGTCACGGGATTTAAGTTCGTGGCCGATGATGTAACGCCGACTGTTTATTGTGCACTTTATCAGCCACTGAACTGGCTTCTCGGGCAGTAATGACCGCACTCAGCTAATCTTCAAGTGACAAAGGTCGCGTGAATTGCCCCAGGGATGGTGGTCATGTGATTTGCAACAGGCAGGTGTAGGCCTACAAGATCGCGACTGCCGCCGATCTAAGCGCTGCGTAAAACAACAAAAGCTGCGTTTACTTGTCACTTTAACCAGCAGTGAGGATGGATTACCGTCTGTTTCCTTCGCTTGTGTTCCTCGTGGTATCCGCTGTCGCTTTACAGCCGTCCGTAATTGCAGCCTCTGCGGCGTCGTGCAGTTTCCCGCCAGAGCTATGGTGCACCTCGCCGGAAATATCCCGAGTCTGCGAAGTAAGTTTTCCGATGATTCTTTCACTGAAATTTAACCCTTTCTAATTACCAGTGAAAACCGTGACATCTCTCATGTTTGTATATATTAGCTGTGTTTCGAAGCGTTTTTGAGAGTATCTTCATTTAAGGAGAAACTAAGACTGAACTGAAATTTCAGGTCCGATGAAGGTCCTATTTTCCCTCGTTTTATATGCCGTTTTAGGTAGAGGCCCAATGTGCCCAGTTTCAGCGGCCCACCAACGACGCCCCTTTGGTCAACTTCACCTTGTACTATGAATCCTACTGCCCCGGATGTCAGATGTTCATCAACGGCCAACTTCACGACACTTACATGGCTGTCAGTGAAATAATGAACTTGACGTTAGTTCCTTACGGAAACGCAAAGGTACGCTCATTATCGGCGATTTGGGAGTTTCAAACCATATTTTTAACTTTTCCTTCAGCCCCATTCTGTCTTGCAATATAGATTCACAAAATTATGGTCCCAGAAAAAGGAGGTGTTATTTCTTACATGTATATGCCAATCGTTTCAGTGATTTAACAAATACATGTACACGATGTATACTGATTATGATTGTTTTGATTTATTATACACAACGATCCACTTTTCAATTCAGTGGGTTAGTAGTATGGTCTGACGTATATCTGTACGGTTGAATTGTAGGAGATGAAAAAAGGCTCAAAGTACGAGTTCACGTGCCAACACGGCGAGCGAGAATGCCGCGGTAATCTACTGGAATCCTGCGTCCTGCACTTCGCTCCATTCCCGACGGCCTTCAAGACTATTTACTGTATGGAGGTCACACACAACCCGGTGCCTAACGCCCAAGAAGTGAGCAAAGAACCCGTTCCCACTGACCCATCTATCCTTGATTATGTGCTAGCTTAAGCAGGCCTCTCTGTTGGAAACTCCACGACTTTGTCAAAAAGTTGCTGGGAGCAAAAATAAATAGAATGTTCAGATCCAGAAAGCTAGACCTTCAATCTCAAACGACCAGCTGTAGCACCATGGGCCCTTAACTAATTTCTAACATCCAAATTATGCCTACGGTGATTTGAAAATTTATGTAGAGATATACCTAGGGCATTGTTCGGGCCGGGGTCAACATGATTGAGCCTTGAACTATACTTAATTTAGAGGAAGCCTGAACCACGTTTGTTTGAACAATATACTTCACCGTTCATCGAGGTTAGTGTCCTCAACCTTTAACCACAGTTCTGATGGTGTATAGTATGCCAAACAAGAACTGGAAAGTGACACCATCTAGTCTGGTAAGAATCCATGCAAATCGGGCCTACCAACAAACTTCTTTTGCTGTTTGGCCTCTCAAAAGACGGATACGTACGACCTCCGTGCAGGGCACCATTTCATTTCAAAGCACCAGCAGTTACAGGAACCAATTTCTCGGCGGATATGGTTGTTGTCTTTACCGTGCCAGCCAACCATTTGCACTTCGGGTCCATAACAAAAATGGACTATCCTTGCACAGCTGTCATTAGTGACTCAGCTTAATGATTACCGACTTCTATACGAAATAATCATGTTGCCGATTTTGTCCTTGACTCTGTCCAAATGCACCGTTGGCACAGAGGGGCTTTGGGTTCCTCGTATTTGCTTTTTTTTCGTGAAATTTTTCTAGTCGTGCTTGGATGGATTATCCTCCCAATCTTCATAACTTTCTTCACAGTTAGACGAGTTATATACTGTATGTATAAAACAAGATATGTATTATTAGATTTTGGCGTTTCAATTAGACTCATCAGTAAAGGCCGGTTCATACTTCAGGCGAGTGGGACAGCGAAGCGAATTTGACGTCACAACTTTGCGGGGAAATGTCGCCGATTTGAAATGTAGGCCTATTCAACTTTTATGAACTGGCAAACTGAATAATACTTGATCTGCCCTCACAAATTTAATTTCGCTTTCGCCCTAAGTATGAACCGGCCTTGAGGACTGAACATTTCACTACATCAGTGAGTTGTGATCGACATTTTTGTCTGTGCATGTATTACAGTGCATTACGAAGTTCGGTTTGAACTACGAGCAAATAGTAGACTGTGCAAATGGCTCATTGGGCAACTTTTTGGAGCACGAGATGGCCCTGAAGACCAACGCACTGAAGCCACCTCATAATTATGTACCTTGGGTCACATTGAATGGGGTAAGTTTCTTTGTAGTAGCTAGGTACAGGTACGGTGTCCACTGGCCGTCCAACATGTTCACCTTTCCCTCCACAGCCACACTGTGATAAAAGCGAGCGCATACTTTTAGTATATAGAAGAAGTATTAAATTGCTACCGAGCTTCCAAATATAACCTCGCAATGCCTCCTGGTAAGAAAACCAGGATTCCCAAATTTCAGATTACATAGGCCTGTTACGACAATAATTAACTAGGAAGACGATATGCACACTAGAACTCAAATGCTGAACACCATATTTAGTTCCCTCAATTTCCCCAAATTCTTTTAAAACAAAAACATGTACTAAACATACTTATAGGACAACTATTTCACCTGATTTCCACAAATCACCCTTTCAACAGCTTGTTTAATTAATGTGTTTCGTTTGTTTAAGGTGCACACCGACGCCATTCAGCAGAAAGCTGAGTCTGACCTCAAGAAGCTGATATGCGACACTTACAGAGGGAACAAGCCACCTGCCTGCTCCCAGGAGAACACTCAACCTCGCTCCTACATTTAGGAGCCCCTACTATTCCTCTAAATGTGCTTGGGCCAATTTTCAACTAATGACATTGATTTTTTTTTTCGAAATTGTGGTCAATAATATCAACCGTGGACTTGAATAAATAAAACATGCCTCGGGGACAATCATAACTAATTTAAAGTGTAGCTGCAATGAATTTTTATTTTGCACAATTTTTCTGCATCTTTGTAATCTTCTCCGTTGTATGAAAAGTCTTTGCGCTAGAAAGTGCATGTTTTTAAACAATTAAAATTATCTATGTAACTGAGGGCGCTGTTGCTGTGAAATCATCTAGGGAAGACATGTTTCAGTGCATAGGTATTTCTGTTCAAATTGTGAACCCAGATTTTACCTCCTGGAAACATTTCTGAGAGAGGGTTTGATGTTTTTTATTGCTGTGCACATAAACAGCAATGAATGAGCTAAGAAGAGAAAACGCCGGCGAATCTGTAATCCAGAGTGGCCTAAACGTTTCGATCAGTGGCGTATAGTTTAGCCAGGGGTGAGGGTTAAACCTCGGCCTGTCTCTTTATTCTTCAACGGAGACGAAAGCAAAAGTACTAGAAACCCAGCTTGAGAAATGGTGACACCCAGAATTTTTAATTCATAGGGGACCCAGTCTATGGCATAATATATAATAAGTTGTACCTTCTACAACGCCTTTGTTGATTTATTCTTTAATTATGTTGAATCCATTGCATATTAATTTCAATTGGCTGCAAGACCTGCCAATGATAAGGGAATTTGTTTTTAAATTTATGAACACTAGATACTTTAATAACAGATGCCACACCAAAATTATGAAAGGAAATGACTTCAGTAAGTTATTACGACTTTTGGAAGGATCATGGTTATTTGTCACTCATAGGCAGTCATGCAGGTTTTTGTGCTTGAACGTGGGCCAGAAGAGAAAATCGAGTATTGCTAACTTTTGCGACATAGCTCGGCCAAAATCTACATGTACATAGAGGCGTCGTGTGTTAGCCATCTTGCTGAGTAGTTCTGTTTGACAGAGAATCCTCCACTGTGCATACCCTGTGGCGTAAATCTGTGCTGGAAATTGGTGGGAGGGGGTGGAAAGGTGGGGGCGGGATGACTTGCCTGGCCATGTCAATTTGAAAGGGGTGGTTACACACATAATAGGGGGTGATGTCCATGATGAATGTGCATTGTATTGTGTTTTAAAACAGTAACAATTGTGCTTTTTCACTATAATTTAAAGGTTCAAGAGTTACACCAAGCATTTGAACGATTACCATGTATATAAAATAAGGCTGCGTTCTTTATATATTGTGTGTATGTGTTGGTGATAATACGCCCCTAATTTTTTTTCTCAGCCAAATTATCATGAAGTATACCCTGCAATTTTTTTGCAGGCTGCTTGAGTTTAGCCTAGGCCTACCGGTACGTAGCTGCATTAAACCAAATATTTCATGCTAATATTTTTCATTCCATTTTTCCCACTCCTAAAAATGGAAGGGGGCTAATAACCGTAAAGTATCATTGATTTTTTAAAGTACTGCAGTGACAGTGCCAACAGGCCGGTGGGGGCGCTGGTGTGGCCCCATGGCGCTGTGCCGGTCCCTGCTGGTTGGCTTTGGGCCCACCCCTTCGGCGCCGGCGCAGTAGCCTTTGGGGATTTTCGATTACGTCAGTTTCGCACCAGTTCTGGTAGACTTGAAATCAAGTTGCTAATTAACTGTTGTGTAGTCTACCTTCCTCGCGATGCGGTTCGCCGAGCAATTCGATAACACGCTCCCCAATAATGCATGTCCCGACGGTGCCTATAATTACCGACTTGAACAATTTGCAAGCCCTTTTGCGCACAACATATGGGGCTTGCTGCCAAAATTGGACGGAGCACTCTGATGGCTAAGAACCCTGATAATATGAATATTTATTTCAGGGCAGTTTGATTGGTCGGTTGAACTTGAACGCATATTAACTACAACCGCAGTCTGGTTCATTGAAGAGGGTGTTTACATTACCCTAAACGATGAGTTGCCACAAAAGGATTGATTCTCTTACCAGATAAAGATGGTTAATAGATTTGTTCTTGAATAGTTATGTATACTTTGTCTCTAAGCAGCGGATTAAAAGGGATATTAATGTAAGATATGAAAGAAAGTGGCACATCCCTGTGAATATATGGACGAGTCTGTTCTGTACCGTAAGCTACTATTGGCGCACTAGGTGGAAATATATGAATCATGCAGTTCAGTTGTTGCTTACATTAATATCTATCCAGAATCAAGTTGATCAAGTCATTAGGCGGGCACAGGGGTCGTGGGCCAACGTGCGTCGAAACCCGGCACAGAACAGCACACGATCGAGCAAGGACAAAGTCGCTGTAGCATGCTGGATGGATTGCGGGCCGACCATGTCCGACCAGGTCATGCAGTTTGAGGTGGCGAGGGAGGCCCTTCTCGAGGCCCGACGGTGGCAATTACGATAGGCCTAATGCTAGTCTGGAAAGGCCTTGTTCTGAACCCAACAAGATGGACCAGGGTAGGCCTAGATTAGAATTTGTAGGGACCCTTGGGGGCCCATCCCACTACAAACGGTAGCATAGAAACTGGCTGGCACCACGCGATGCCTGGACGGACTGTGCCGCTAAAAGTGGCGGGATAATGGGCTAGATTGCGAGTTTATAAGGGCTACCGGGGGACACAAAGTTGCTGCGGATGGCGGCATGGGAAATGGTGGGCATCGCACGGTGCCCAAACAGACCGTGCCGCCGGAAATGGTGGCGGGGCCGACATGTACAGTACCATTCCATATACCGTGCCCGGTATGCCAGGGCCCAGGCAGGTCGCGATACAGTGCCGACTGACTTACAATATCTTCGATTAAGGGGGGGGGGCGCAGTCGGATCGCTCGCCAGCCCATGCGCGGGTATTCGAAGTGCCATTGATGACTCATCTGTACCAGCAGGCTGCAAGCGGGTCCGTGTCGGATTCCTCGCCGGCCCATGCGCAGGTCCGCAAAACATCGTTAACTCATCCGTGTCGACAGGCTGCGGGCGTGTCCGTGTCGGGTCCCTTGCAGGCCCATGCACGGGTACTTGTAGCGTCATTAACCCATCCGTGTCAGCGTCCTGCGGGCTGGTCCATGTCGGATCCCTCGCTGGCCCATGTGCGGGTACTTGAAACGCCG